GCGAAGCACCCGGCGTCCCCGGCGCGGCACTTCCGCGTGCTCTCCCGCAGCGATGGCAGCCTGCTGGACCTGTCGGACCCGAACGGGTCGACCTCGTCGCTCGGGGCCACCCCGCGCTTGAACCAGCAGTTCCTGCAGCTCCCCAAGCGTTATACCGACAAGGGCAGCTACGTGTGGGATTGGCGACGGGTGAAGTCGGATACTATCGAAGATACGCCACCGGTCAATCCACCGGAGGACTAAATAAATGGCATTAAAGCCCTCATTAAGATGATTAATATTTTTTGTATAAAAAAAAAAAAGCAGAGGAAAGGGGAAAGATAGTTTATGAGGGAAAAGGATATGGTCATTTGTGGAAAGTATAACGACGAAAATGCTCCGATAATTATTAGGCATTCGATGGGAAATAAGACGCTTGTTGCGCTGTGTATGTCGCATAGTTCTACCTTTGTAATTCGAAATCATATCGTCTTGCTCATTTTCAACTATTTATGTGGAATGACGAGACGGATTTGCTGGAAATTGCTGTAGAGAATGGAAACATTATATGTCGTGTATGCAATCTTATTCTTCCAATATGTTAATATGCACCTGTGATGAAACCAGTTGCCGTATCGTGATGTTGAATATATACTACCTTGAGTTGAATAAGAACTGCAGAGAGAGACTAAATGCTATAAATATTTTTGTGTGTGTGAGTTACCTTGTGAAGCGATGAGTATGACTAAAGATTCAAGCGCAAGATTCTCGGCGGTGAACTAAAAATTGGGGCTTCCTTCCTATCTTCTCTTGAATAAAATGCACATTTCTATGAGTTTGTTTAGACCTGCGCCAATCGTGATCACTGACAAGAAACATCACGCTTCAGGCGATTTCATAATACGCACATTCTTTTAGAATACTTAGTCCTAATGATATTTATGGTAAATCTACATGCATCTTATAACATGTTTCTAATATGCAACTTTATAAGTACTCTATTAAGCCAAGACGCTCCGTTTAACGATGTTATCGCAGATTTCTTTGATTATAATCTTTTCCCTCATTATTAACTAATTATTTCTTATTATATATATATATATATATATCATTATTTTTTTCAGCTAAGCATCTAACCTACAGTGAGAAGGTGCGTCCTACGGAGGTGGGACTGTCTATGGAACCACCAAAGTTGGGGGCGGTGGTCTTGGGTGACGTTGTCGAGCGCCATTTTGAGGATGCCGATAATACCCCGGGTGAGAGCGCCGACGTGCAGCCCTCCCTGCCCGTGCGGGCTCTGCAAAGGCGGCCCTTTCCTCACTACAGCCCGGATGTGCAATACGGCATAGGCGGTCCTGGGGCCCCATTAAACGCCCCGGGCGCGATCGGCCACGCCTTCAGCGCGCATGTTCAGCCGGAGGATCCTTTTGATCGCCCTTTCCCCCCCCCACGCGCGAGCGGGCCTTTCAAACAACGACGAAATCTGGCCTCTTGGAGCGGACGGTCGAGCAAAGGA